ACGATTTTCCTGCTTTTCCATTTTTACGAAAACCACAGAGGCGTCTTGTTCAGCGTGCTGTCAAACCTACACTAGCAAGGAGATCGGGCTGAAACTATAGCTACAAGCTATCCAAGGATGGTACTATAGAATGTCACCTCAAGGTAGGCCTAGTGGCGTCATCTCTTGGTTAGGCCGGAAACTTATCAATCCACCCTCGTATATTGTACTTACTTCAGGTTCCTTTTCGTAGTAACATTTATGAGTTAACCAGGCATTTTCACACTGATCTTTTCCAACTAAAATAACATTAAATAATGTAGCTTGATTTTATATATCGTTTATGAATAAAGAATTTAACTGAAATTCTTACCTTTCCCGCCACATGCCCTTATACTTCCAGACAAAACATCTTTCAATTCGTCGGGTAGAACAGCAACCACCGCTTCAGGGTCCACTACTCCTTCGTCATTCATCTAAAGCCAATTACAATATGTAGTTATATTAAAGAAAGAAAAATAAAAAAATAAAATATATAATCATGGACATAAAAGAATATCGAGAGAAACCCCAGTTTCTTAATACGCTTCTACAACTGTAAAATATTTAGCAGTTATAAACCTAATACTGTAAAACATAAAACTATTACTTTTAGAAGAGGTACAAATGACAATTTTAAGACTACTAGCCATAAGAATCTTTGGGAAAATATAATCAAATTCGGGAAAAAAGAAGTGGGAATAAAAAGACATTCTATGTTCCATTTCTTCCTCTTTAGTTGTATAATAAAATAAGTAAAGACGATCAGGGGCATAAGGATATTATAACAAAACCAGCACCGATGTTTCGTCTCTAATTTGAGGCATTTTCAGAAATATTATGATAAATATCTAATAAACATAAAACCAAGTACAATTTACAAAATGCCCTGCGCTAATTGCGAAAGAAGCTATAGTGGTCAAACTAACAGACTCCTTCACGTAAAAATCCGTGAACACAAACTTTCATTTATTTATTAGGTATATTCGTTTCATGCCTATTTCTAAGTCAGATAATTCAAAAATTGGAAACAATCGTCATTTCTGTAACATTTTAAAGAGTGTAAAAGTTAATATGCTCACTTTCTTGTAGAAGTGTATCAAGAATACTTGATTGATTTTAATATGACATTACCTCAAATTTTGAAAATTACTTATACTTAATATTGCACACGATTTACATCACAAAACTTAAATTGTACAATCTTGTGAAGCGATAGCTGCCACACACGTTTATATTGATTTTTTTGATTCAAAATTAATAAACTATCTTGAAATCTCCACTCCACGTGGATCGCATGAAGCAGGAAATGAATATTATATAATAATTGGCAGGTTTATAGAATTCCAAGGTGTAAAAATATATATGTTGGACTTACCACTGCCATTTGGACCATGACGCACTTTAAGTAGCATTTAAATCTATCGTCATCGGCAAAATCACCTTTGCGAGCATTTTCTATCATTTCTGCAAGAACATGATAAACAATGTCACAAAAAACATCGAATAAGCCACAAGTTGAAGGACAGGCAATGTGGTATTGTAAACGACCAAAAGGGGTATCAAAATTGCTACCAAAAACATACGATATTCGTCGTAGTCTATACATTCATACCAGTTCGTTTCTTCACTCATTTTAGTTAGATTCTTTTCATACTAATTAGAATTTTTATAAGAACAATATGACTTTGTTTGTTGTCTTTCATCTATTTTATTACCATGCACCTATTTTAAAAGAACGATTCACTCGGAATTTGGAAAAGTTTAATTTGTTTTAAAGAAAAAAGACATAATTAGGTTAGTTATATGACAAGAAAAGGCTCCTGTCATTGAAATATACAGGACGTTGTACTATTGTGCAGGAATAATAGACTAGTAACAACAGATTTTTATACCTTCAGGTACTCCTGTTTCCCCTTGACAATTATCATGGAGCATTTTTGCTAATTCCATCATCTCCTCGGATATGCACTTGAAACAATAACGAAAATATAATATTTAACATTAATAAACAATAAAAGACAAAAGTAGAGTTTACGTTTACGATTGCAATACTGCCAAACATATAATGTATTAGTTTTTAGTATTAATTGATCTGGAATAACATCTCGAACAACAATTAAAATAAATTAAAAAAAAAATCTTTCATTTGCTAACTTATTATAAGGTGGGTCTTATTTACGTAAAAAAAAAATCAGGATTAATGTGCGGTCAGACTGGTATATTGCTGGAATATTTTTCAATTCTGCAAAAACTACTTTACCGATCTTGGCCAAATTGTGAGCTTTAGTTACGATATACAGGGTGTCACAAGCAAGCGGGTTTCTTCAGTGACTGCTCTGTTTTGAGTAAACTTAAAACGTCTTTTTACCACTTTTGTAAGAAACTTTTTTTAATACTTTCAACTATAAAGCAGTTATTGAAGAAGCCCGCTTGCTTGGGANAGACTGGTATATTGCTGGAATATTTTTCAATTCTGCAAAAACTACTTTACCGATCTTGGCCAAATTGTGAGCTTTAGTTACGATATACAGGGTGTCACAAGCAAGCGGGTTTCTTCAGTGACTGCTCTGTTTTGAGTAAACTTATACCGATTTGTTACCACTTTTGTAAGAAACGTTTTTTGATATCTTCAACTATAAAGCAGTTATTGAAGAAGCCCGCTTGCTTGGGACACCCTGTATATACAATAGAATAGGCTCACTTCGTTTGTGTTGTCATTTCCTACCGTAACTCTTATGGTCCTAAGCAAATCCATCAAAAAAAATTGGCATTTCCAAAGACGGTGTCACAAACTTCACATCCACTCAATAAAATATGAAAATATTCGGTCTTATTCCTTAAATTATTATATTACATAAACTAAAAAACTTAAATTGAAGCTTTTCATTCGTTTTTTGTAATACTTATAATTTTTGAATTGAAATTTGTGCAAAAAGAGAGCTAAGATTCTTTAAATATTAGATAATAAGTTTTTATTTATTTTAAAAGGTTACCTTACCAGGATAAACGGTAAAACGGCAATCAATGCAAACTTGAGCCACATTTTGCGAATGTTTCTGTTATTAATCTTCTCTGTGCACTATTTACGTATGAATGAATCAATAAAAACAAAATTTTTGATTTTATTGCAGTAATATTATAGACAATTCTGTTCACCTTGACATCAAACATCCTTACTAAACTATTTATTAAAATGTTACGAATAATTTGCGGAGAGTAATGTATTGTTATTTAAAAAATTACTGATACATGTAATTTTAATGTACATTTTGAAGAAATTATTTACGATTGTTAGAATATTACCAACAACATATAAAATGATATGAAGGAAGCAAGAACATTAGGCTAATTACTATTATAGGATAAATTAGTGGTTAAAAAATTTTTAAGCTAACCTTTCATAGCTTTTCAATAATTTAAAAATTGTTTAGAGGAAAACCAAAAAATTAAATTGAACTTTTTTTTGATAGCTATTATGCAGTCAAAACAAAAAAACCTTATAAAAATAGTAGCTTCTACTACTAGTTCAAAGATCATCGACGACCACATAAAACTAATTTTTTCTATCCCTCGCTAAAAGTGTTTTTTGCTGAGTAAAACGTACCCTATGTCCTTTTCTGTATCTCTAACAATGTTTATATAAAATTTCATGATGGGTTTTACCCGCAGCTTCGCTCGCGTTGATGTTCTAAATACGTGTCAAAGATCATTGTCGACCACATACAACTAGTTTTTTCCATCTCTTGGGAACTGTATTTTTTCTGAATGAAAGGTCTGGTTTCTCTTTAAGAAACATAATGGGAGTGTTCTTAAAGTGAAACTAAGACAAGTCCCTGAAAGAGGGCAGCAGCTTTTTCAGTACTCAGGGTGACAGAGATCACGAGGATCCGTATGGCACTCTGATACACAATACTGCGATGTGGAAGGCAACGGGAAACCAAGACATTACGATATCCCAAGTAAAACTCATCGAAACAAAATGATGGCGTCCTCTGGGTTAAAGCACTCCGGACGTAAACTAGTTCCCCATTCGGATGTCCGGGCGGGGACTACCTCGGTGGATGTCATCAATAAATGTGGTGTTACAGGCGAATGATGAGGATAACGAGAATAGAGAAGGTTAGAAATGAAGAGGTGTTAGAAAGAATATGAGAACAGAGGACTCTATGGAAGTCAATAAGCATTAGGCGAGGTAGGTTGGTAGGAGACCTTCTCAGGCATGAAGGTCTAGTCAGAGACATAGTGGAGGCAGAAACGGAGGTTAGGAGGGGTAGAGGTAGATCTAGATTAGATTACTGTTCGCAAATATTTAAGGATGTGGGTTGTTCTAATTTTAGACCGAGCGGCATGGCCTAGAAGTCTAGACCATTGCTTAGCATTCGGGAGGACGCGGGTTCGATTCCGGGTCCGTCTGCCTTGGTCCAAGTTTTTCTGTGGTTTCCTTGGATCACTTAGGCAAATGCTGAGGCAGTAATATTCCACAGATAATCTTTCACTCTCTTCTGTCTTCATTTCGTCCGTCTCATCTTTCTCACCCGAACCACCAACCACCCATTCCCACTATTCCTGAAAGGAGGCTGAAGAGGGCCTTCCGGCATAGTCCGGAGGGACTGCCCGCCCACCAGCATTACTGGCTGGTGGGAATGAAACACCCAAAAGTTTTTTTCTTTTTTCTAGTTTTAGGGAAATGCGAAGATTAGCTCAGGATAGGAAAGAGTGGAGGTGCGTGTTCAACTAGTCTTAAGACTGAAAACCTTATGATGATGATGATGAAAAGGTACGCTATGTCCTTTCCTGTACCCCTAACAGTGTGTATACAAAATTTCATGATAGTTTTTACCAGCAACTTCGCTCGAGTTTATGTTCTAAATTCGTACCAAAGATCATCGACGACTACATAAATCTATTTTTTTTTTATCTTTGAGACAGTATTTTTTTTTCTGGATAAAAGCTACCCTATGCCTTTTTCTGTACGCCTGATAATGAGCATATCAATTTCAGAAAACTGTACAAATATATATTATGTAAAACTACATATGTACGTGGAAAACAGGAGACATTTTCGTTGTACAATCTATTTATCTATTTATTGTTTATTAGTGATGATAAGTGTATATTATTATCACTTAATTATGTTTGCAGTTGGGTATTATTTATTCATTATAGATGTACATGCATCCGATATCAGTTATAGAACAATGTTCCTAATTTGAGAAAATGCCATAATTTATGGTTTTTTAATTATGCTTTGCATTTTTAAAATCAACCAGCGTAGAGATAATTATAAGTTAGATACTGTTTATATGTACGCCTGTCGTTTGTATTTCTGAATTCATTCAATATTCATGTTAATATTATCTACCGTAATGAGCACGTTAATTTTTTATTAGCTGTGACAGGTAAATATCTACTTTCTGAATAAGACATTAGAAAACACAATACAAAATATTGACTGATGAAAAAGATCATGGTCAATATTAGAAAGATAATTTACGTGGTGCATTCAAAGAATTTCAGGACTGTCCATTGAACTAACTTTCTAAAGACAAATGAATGTACGCTTGATGCAAAGTAAAAACTAATGAACGTAGCCTATGGCATGTCATTAAAGTCGGGGTTGAAAATTTTCTCGAAATAAATGGATTATGCGGAAATAGAATTTTTGAAGTGAAACTTCTTTACGCACGGTACGGTAAGTTCTTTTAATGCGAGATGGTATGTAACGAAATCATGCAACGCATTTCCCCCGCTATCTGTCCATATGTATGCTTAGATCTTTAAAACTACGCAACGGATTTTAATGCGGCTTTTTTTCAATAGATAGAGTAATTCAAGAGGAAGGTTTAATTGTATAATACATGCATAATGTAGTAGAGAAACACTGATAATTTTAGAGGTTTGTAATGTAATGTTGTAAATAAACACATTTTTTTGCGCTTACATTTCAAACGGTGGCTGAACTCTACGAGATAGATCAAAATAATACACTACAGTATTGTACATCTTAAAAATGTCTAGAAAAAAGCTATGGTATATATCTATCTTTTAGGGATAACCCACAATAACCATTTTTTATCCTTTTACGAGAAATAATGGCTTATTTACGAAGCGATTTTAAGCAATATAGCATTAATTCTTATCCAATTAAGTACTTTTAAATACAACGCGCATTTGATATAGATTAATATGGCCCTTTACAGCATCTAATTTAAATGAATATTTTCGAAGATATTATAGGTTTAAAATGCAGGGACATAGCGGTTGCGGCGGTACTGGCCGGTTTGTATTGTCTAATGACAAAAAAGCTGTGATTGTTGTATATAAAGACAGTCTATAGTATATTTACTATCAGCATTGCACCCGTACGAAGCATAGTGTATCACACTTTATACTCCGTCTCTATATTATTCCATACTGCAAGTTCCTATTGAATGAGAATGTGTTACGTATATCGATTATAATTGGATTACACGAAATATAATAAAAATACAAAAATAGTTTTATAGATTTTATTACATTAATTAATATCATCACGAAGGCAGGAGTAAATATTAATACATTGCTTAAGATATAATACTTATTGATACTAATTACTCATTGAAAGAATTTTCCTGAAGCTTCTGGAATGTTTTACCTTTTTTAAATACAGCAAGGAATGAGTAGCCTGTTTTTGTGATCTAGAAAGTAAAATAAAAGATAAGAGTAGGATTATAGTAAATGTTACGTTAATAAGTAGAATTCATGATTAAAAACTTTTAAGTAGTAACGTTCAGTTTCTGGTAATCAAGGTATTAGTTTTTAAAATTA